ACCACTGTCGATGGCTTTACCTTTTCCCACCGAGGAGGCAGAGATGGCATCTTATAGGTCCACAGGCACCTACGTCGACGCCGTCCCACCACCTAGGACGAACGTCGTCAGTGGCATGTGGCTCTACAAGGTGAAGCGGCCGCCTGGATCACCACCGGTGTTCAAGGCGCGCTATGTGGCGAGAGGCTTAAGTCAGCGCGAGGGGGTAGACTTCTTCCAGACCTTCGCTCCCACCCCAAAGATGACCACTCTTCGGGTGTTGCTGCTTATCGCAGCTCAGCACGACTACGAGTTGCACTCCTTGGACTTCACCACAGCGTTCCTACAGGAGAGCCTGCACGAGCAGATCTGGCTCCGTCGTCCGCCTGGCTCCACTAGCTCTTTCCCTCCCGGGACTCAGTGGCAGTTGCGTCGACCGGTCTACAGCCTGCACCAGGCGCCCCGTGAGTGGCACGACACACTTCGCACGACTCTTGCAGCGCTTGACTTATTTCCGTCCTCTGCTAACCCGTCGCTGTTCGTCCACCGTGGGTCGACCCCGATCTTTGTTCTGGTTTACGTTGACGACCTGATCTTCGCCACTCCTGACCAACGCGCACTGGCCTCCGTGAAGGAGGAACTGCAGAGGAGACACACTTGCACTGACCTTGGTGAGTTGCAGCGCTACCTTGGCCTGCAGATCACCAGGGACAGGGCAGCTCGCACCATTACGCTGACGCAGTCGCATATGGTCGAACAGATCCTCACGCGGTTTCGCTTCCCGTTCTCCAAGGTACAGCTCACCCCTCTTGCTGTGGATCATGGGCTCACGGCTTCATCTTCGGACAAGCATTTGAGTCCAGCAGTCCATATCCTGAGTTGGTGGGTTGTGTCATGTACCTGATGACCTGTACTCGCCCAGACCTAGCTTACCCTCTTAGCGTCCTGGCGCGCTTTGTTGGGCCTGGGAGACACCGACCGTCCCACTGGTACGCGTGAAGGTTACCTCGTTGACAGAAGCGTCACATGCTGAAACGTCGCATCCTGAAGCGTTGGATGCTGCAGCGTCGAATGCTGCAGCTTCGGATGCTGAACAGGCCGATGCTTCCGCATCGGAAGCGGATCTGTAGGAACCTTCAGCTTCTGATGCTGAACCGTCCGATGCTGCAGGTTCAGAAGCAGATTTGTTGGATCTTGCAGGTTCTGCAGTTTCGGCTTGCACGAAGTCAGCAAGTGTGGCCGTGCCGTCGCGCATCCCAAAACTGAGAAGGGGAGCAAGGGTGAGGCGAGTGGAGGGAGCAACACTGATCCTGAGGCCCACATGCGCCTCTCTAAAGCGGGAGGTGAGGGGAGTGCATGTTGACGCTTCAGTTCCGCGGCCTCACAGAACGTCCAAGGTCGTGCGGGCTGCACTGTCAAGGCACCCATGGCGGCCTTGACTGCTGCTTAGATGAAAAAAAAAAAAACAAACAAACAAACAAACAAACAAACGTTCACTATGGCTGAAGGAAAAGAAAGATGAAAAAACAAACAAACAAACAAACAAACAAACAAACAAACAAACAAACAAACAAAAAATAAATATACAAAGCAATAAAAATCGATGGGTTGAAAAGACAATGGATTGCACTATGAGATTGGGGGAAGGGATGGAACGCAGGTACACGGCGGAGCACAGCAACACGCAGAGTGCAGCGAATGGGGAGTTGTGGAGAAGTGGGATGGGTGAGGTGTGGATGGGGAAACACGGTGGCTCTTACTCTTTTATGCGCCCTGCCTCACAGCAGGGGTTTCGTGGGAGTGTGGGTGGTTGACGGTGGAGGGGATGAGGGGAAGCTATTGTGCTGCTCTTCTCACAATGCGGTGCATGCACACTCAGAAGCATGTACCGTCACCCCCCGGATATGCCCCCATGGGGGGGTATAATAAAACATGATCTTTAAGGGGGGTGGGCTTATAATTGAGTAAATTTATAAGCGCCGGCGTTTATGGTTTGTCAATAATGAAATTAATATTTTAATATACGAAATCGAAGCATTTTTAAAGGCGGATTCACCTGAGTCGAGCATGTTTGAAACTGTGCATGTTTTCCGCGTGAAAAGGCCAACAAGGCGTGGCTTCACGCCCTCCACGCCTTGTTGGCCAGGCCAGGTTCATCGAACGTGAACCTGGCCCATGCCAGCGCACACGCACTTCGCATCACGACTGCCCAATCAAGGTTACATGCGGTCCAGGGCTCGTCTTGGAGGAGCCACGATGTGCCCATCCAGAGCAAGATTCCCCGCCACCGAGGCAACGAGCTGACCAGCTCAGCTCCTCTGCGGGGAATCTTGACTGTGGCCACCCCTTCCCCGCAGAGGAGGCCGGGCCGCGAAACTGGAGGGGTCTCGGGCGAGGGCTTCATACGGCCCTCATTCTCAACTTTCTCCTCACTTTTCTTCTTTCGTTTGGCCTGCCGTGGCCATGGCGGGCCTTCCAGGCACGCATTTTCTGTTCCGCCGCCAACCTCCTGCTAGAGAAAATAGAAACACCCGTGACTACTCGCAATGGCAGAGCCGCCCTGCGGCTGTCCCTCCAACAAACCCAGTCGTGCCTCCTGTTCCTCCCACTCCTCCAATGCCTCCTAATCCTCCCACTCCCCCGGCGCCTCCGGTTCCTCCCGCTCCTCCGTCCCCTCCTGAGCCGCCTGTCGTCGGTGTTCGACGTCAGGGGATTCTGCAGCTTCTCCTCCCTCCTGGCTACTCGGCGTTCGACGCTTACCTGTCCGAGCCCGACCGCAGCGGCGCCAAAGCATCTTCCTCCGCACCCTCCCCACGCTGGGGAACCCCGGCTGATTGCCCGTTGGACGAATCCGCGACTGGTGCCGAAGACGATGTGGAGTTCTGGGCTGCTGACGGTCTTCCCGAGCACCTGCCTATTCCCACCTTTCCCCCACCTAATAAAAAACGGCCCCACCCTTCCCGTGATAATCGCGATGCCTGTCCTCCCTCCCCCAGGCACAAGCCTACAAGTCACAAGCGCAACGCGTATACCTCCCAGGAGTAGCTGCAGTGGACTCTGAAGCTTGAGTCCGGGGAGATGATTGTGCGGCTGATGTCTCGCGAATCCGGCATCTCCCGAAGGTCACTCGCAGAGTGGAAGACCCGGAAGTCTGAGCTGGAGTGCGCGCATGGGGCTCGCAAGCGCCTTCACGGTCGCGGACGGAGCTCGTGGTACCGCGACATGGAAGCGGAAGTCTACAGGAGGTTTCTTGCCCACCGTAAAAAGTGTCTTGCCGTCTCGGTCGCACGCCTGCAGAAGTGGTCGCACGAGGTGATGAAAGAAATGCACCTAGGTGAAAAGTGGGCCGGCTCCCAGCGGTGGACTGAGCGCATTCGCCGCCGCTGGAACCTGACAACCCGAGCAAAGACCAGGGTCGGCCAGAAGCTTGCGACTAGTGAGTTTTTAAAACTGTCGTTTACGGTTTTGTTGCATGTGGTGGTTGTGTGTTCTCGTCAACCGTTGTTCTTCTGTCTCGTCACCCATCCTGTGTTTTTTCGGTCTTCTCCCATCCGTACTCCCAGACTGCGAGGGTGATGTCAGGAACTCTGGAAGTTTGTGCGACACACCCGCCGCCAATACAAGATCGACCCGCAGTGGATTATTAACCAGGACTAGACGCCACTCTGGCTTGAGATGCATGCCGAACGCACCGTCGAGGAGGTGGGCCCGCGCTCTGTGCCCATCCGCAGCGGCGGCTATCAGAAGGAGCGAGTGACAGTGATGCTCGCCTGCACCGCCACGGGGTAGAAGCTGAAGGCGTGGGTCTTCTTCAAAAGGAAGACCGTCCCGAAAGGGAATTTCCCGTCAGGTAAGCTTCACTAGCCTAGAGTATAATTACTACATGTTTATGTCTTGTGTTTTTATACTAATATACAGTGTGTGTAACCTGATGTGCAGATGTCGTCGTGTCCGTGCATCCCAACAGTTGGATGGACGCGGAGGGTGTCATCGCATGGCTCGACGGGACGGTCAAGCCGTACGTCAACCCGAAGTTCGGTGTCCGCCCCCGCAAAGCGATGCTCGTACTGGACTTGTACCGCGGGCACCTGACTGCGGAGGTGAAGCAGAAGTTCGGCGAGTTGAACATCGTACCCGCCGTCATCCCAGCTGGCTGCACCTCGGAGATTCAACCCCTCGATGTCGCGGTGAATCGCTCCTTCAAGGCTGCCGCTCGCCAGCTCTACCAGGAGTGGTTCGAGAGCGAGGGAGTCGACACCTTGACGGTGAAAGGTGAGACAGGCTGCACATGTGTTTGTTTGTTTACCGGTTTTACGGTATGAACCCACCTGACTCTGGTTGTCTTGTTTTTCATGGCAGGCAATGTCAAGAAGCCACCACCCGAGCTGACGCTCAAGTGGATCTCCTCGGCTTAGAAGTCCGTGCCCAAGGAACTGATTCAACGGTCGTTTCTCACCTGCGGCATCAGCAACGCCCTGGATGGGTCCCAGGACAAGCTCTGCCTGCAACACAGGCGGGACGAGCTCGATGGCGAAGTAGAGATGGATGATGACATTGCAGCAGATGGGTTCTGTTGCAACAATGTAGAAAGGCCTGAGTCAGACTCTGAGGCCGACCCAGATGACCCCACCGCATCTGATGACTAGAGTAGATGTAGGTAATGTAGGAGATGTACGGTAGACATTGTATGAAAATGATTTAGTGAACTTGTTCGTTTGTAGGTAGATTAAAACCTTGATAAATAAAAAAACAGAAACGAAAAGGGTGGCGCTTATATTATGTAACCTACGGGTATGCGGTTATAATCCGTGAGCTCAAAAGTATGGGCTTATAATTGAGGAGCGGATATAAGCACCATATGCCAATTATAAGCGCCTGGCGCTTATCCGAGGGTGGCGCTTATATCCGGGGGGTGACGGTATCAAGAAATGCCATTCAAAACCAAAGGCATACACACTTGAGATTCTCCCATCTGTTGTTGACGATACGAACCATCCGGTTTTGCTCAAATGTTGGCTAATCTAGTCCTTGTCCTCGTCATCGGACTCGTGGAACAGCGTTGTGGGCTGAGTGGCAGCGTAGGCGGGCGCAATGATCTGCGGGTCGTTGGCCGCCGCATCCGCGTATTTGAGGATGGCCTCTCTTGGGTCCTCATCCATCCACGTCTCCTTCAGCATCCCGCCCTCCTGCCCGTGCCATGCACACACACGTGGGGATTGGGGAGGGATTGGGGAGGGGAGAGGAAGAAATGAGGAATTGGTCCCTCACACCTGGTTCTCAGGCTCTTGATCTCAGCTACCGCAAGAATCCATTCCCATGTTCTCAGCATGTGCAACAAAAACTGCCGCGGCAGCAGGCAGCAGCACGCACCCGGAGGAGGTACTGGGTGAGCAGGGTGCCCTTGGTCTGCCCCACGCGCCCGCCGTGCCCCGGCCCGTCCATGGGCAGGTCGGGCCGCTGGCTCGCCACGGGGTCTTTGCGCGCCTTCTCGCGCTGCCGCTTGCGGCTCGGCTCGTCGCGGAACATCGGCAGCGCGTGCGGGTTGCGGATGGCGGGCGCCGCCACGCGCGCACACAGGTCCTCGGGGCGTGCGGCGCGGGGGGCACGTGCCACGCACACGAGGGCACCACGCTCGCTGAGTGTGGGGTCGTAGAGGATGTGCGTGCCGCCCGCCTTCTTGTCGCCACATGTGGCGAATATCTGGTGGGGATTCGGCGAGGGTGGCGGTGGATCCGTGAAGGGGAGGGGCAGATGGAGACTGATGTGCGTGAGATGGGGGTTGGGGACATGGGTTTTACTGGGCGGGTGTTGGCTGCTGTGACGAGCTCCACATGGGGAATGGGACTTGAGAGGAGGGGAAGGGGAGGAGATCCACACTTGAGAGTGCTGACAGTGCTGTGGATACCAATAAGAATCTGGTTGAGCTGAGAGATAACAGCACCCACCTGGTTGAGGCGTGCGTGCCACAGCACGCGCACAACGCTCTGGTCGGAAGACACGCCCGTGACGCGCACGAGGTCCAGCGACTCCTTGGAGTAGAAGTGCAGCTGCACGGCATGGGGGGTCATGCACGCACACGTGGCATGGGGGGTGTGGGGGGTGGGAACATTAGTAGAGTAAGGCAGCTTCAAGAATTAGGCTAGACTGTGCTCTGCTACCCGTCCTGACTCTGGTATAAGTTAAGAACCCGTTCCATTTGTTTTGTATAAGAATACGAAACAAAGTGCAAGTGTTGACTTGTTGATCAATCTGATACCGCCTGATTCAAGGGTTGCCTTGAGCCAACCCTCAGCTTCTGAGCCATCTACCCATTTTGAGTCGAACAGAAGACTGCAGGGCGGCTGGTACAGGGATGGGCGGGAATCCATCCCCAACAACATTGAGCCACCCAACCAAGTTGGAGTAGGTACATGCGGAGCGAGAGCAGGAAAAAACGAAGGTGCAAGAGGTGACGCTGAAGGAGAGCAGGGTGAGAGGATGCTGGAAAAAAGAGTAACGGAGGTGCAAGTTAGGGATGAAAATAAGAGGTACGGGGGAATCTGGAGCAGGCAAAGAAGGAAGGTGCAAGAGGTGAGAGAGCAGGGTGAGAGGATGATGGAGAGGTGCGGGGGACGCTCGAGCAGGCAGATAAAACGGCGGAGTGGCCGAGGGAGTGGGGTGAGAGGATGACATGAAGCGAGCAGAGGTGCAAGGCCAGTTGGAGGAGGTGCAAGGCCAGTTGGAGGAGGTGCAGGGAAACAATCCTGTTGCGCACCTCGTCCCACTCGTGGCGCACCTCTAATGAAACTCTTCTACTTCATCTCTTCATCCTACTCTCACCTCCCTCACGTCTCTCACGTCTCTCACCTCCTGCACCTCTGTCTCCACGTGCGCCAGCATAACCCGCGCCTCCCTTGACATCTTCTCCACCATCCCACTTCTCTCCGCCTACCCATGTCAACTATAGGTGACCTCTCTCTCTCCTTCATCTCACCCTTCTCTACCTCACTTCTCACCCCCCCCCACCTTTCCCAGCTCATTCTTCTCCTCTTCCCCCCCACACCCACCTGCCCACCCCGCCCGCCCTTCTCAGCGGAGGAGCCGGTGAAGAAGAGGCGCTCGTCGGGGCTCCATGCCACGTTGGTCTGCTGGTAGTGGTTGGGCAGGTCGGTGAACACCTTCACTGGCTGCTTGAACTTGCGCACGTCCCACACCTGCGCGACCGGGGTATTGCAGATACACGCGGATGGCAGAGGCAGAGAAGCTGGAATCACGGGGATGGGAGAACAAGTGGACAAAGGAGATTAGGTACGAAGAGGATACGGAAAGGGGTAGATGGGACGGAATTGTGAAGCTGGGTGAATGAGGGGGTTAAGCGACAGGGGTACTAGAGGATGAGCGGAACATGTGAGGGATCAGGGTCGGTTGAAAAAGGGAGTGCGAATAAGGGATAGGGGACAGAAAGAAATGCAGGTAAAAGAGGAATGGGAAGCACAAGCGGTTGGGCTGCTCAAAGGCAATGGAGAGAGCAAGAGACAACGGGTGCAGGGGAGTAGCTAGTGCGAGGCGGTGCAGGAGAATGGGAACGCAAGGTGGTCCCAGGACCTCCCTGTGGGCCACTCCACGCTGTGGACCTCGCTGCAAGCACACTCACGCCACACCTCCACCCTCAACCCCGTCCCTGCACGCATGCATGCAGCGCACTCGTCACCCTATGCTGCCATCCATGTCACCTTCATGCTGCCATCCATGTCACCTTCATGCTGCCATCCATGTCACCTTCATGCTGCCATCCATGTCACCCTATGCTGCCATCCATGTCACCTTCATGCTGCCATCCATGTCACCTTCATGCTGCCATCCATGTCACCTTCATGCTGCCATCCATGTCACCTTCATGCTGCCATCCATGTCACCTTCATGCTGCCATCCATGTCACCTTCATGCTGCCATCCATGTCACCTTCATGCTGCCATCCATGTCACCCTATGCTGCCATCCATGTCACCTTCATGCTGCCATCCATGTCACCTTCATGCTGCCATCCATGTCACCTTCATGCTGCCATCCATGTCACCTTCATGCTGCCATCCATGTCACCTTCATGCTGCCATCCATGTCACCTTCATGCTGCCATCCATGTCACCTTCATGCTGCCATGCATGTCACCTTCATGCTGCCATGCATGTCACCTTCATGCTGCCATCCAAGTCACCTTCATGCTGCCATCCATGTCACCTTCATGCTGCCATCCAAGTCACCTTCATGCTGCCATCCATGTCACCCTCATGCTGCCATCCATGTCACCTTCATGCTGCCATCCATGTCACCTTCATGCTGCCATCCATGTCACCTTCATGCTGCCATCCATGTCACCTTCATGCTGCCATCCATGTCACCTTCATGCTGCCATGCATGTCACCTTCATGCTGCCATCCAAGTCACCTTCATGCTGCCATCCATGTCACCTTCATGCTGCCATCCAAGTCACCTTCATGCTGCCATCCATGTCACCCTCATGCTGCCATCCATGTCACCTTCATGCTGCCATCCATGTCACCTTCATGCTGCCATCCATGTCACCTTCATGCTGCCATCCATGTCACCTTCATGCTGCCATCCATGTCACCTTCATGCTGCCATCCATGTCACCTTCATGCTGCCATCCATGTCACCTTCATGCTGCCATCCATGTCACCTTCATGCTGCCATGCATGTCACCTTCATGCTGCCATGCATGTCACCTTCATGCTGCCATCCAAGTCACCTTCATGCTGCCATCCATGTCACCTTCATGCTGCCATCCAAGTCACCTTCATGCTGCCATCCATGTCACCCTCATGCTGCCATCCATGTCACCTTCATGCTGCCATCCATGTCACCTTCATGCTGCCATCCATGTCACCTTCATGCTGCCATCCATGTCACCTTCATGCTGCCATCCATGTCACCTTCATGCTGCCATCCATGTCACCTTCATGCTGCCATCCATGTCACCTTCATGCTGCCATGCATGTCACCTTCATGCTGCCATCCATGTCACCTTCATGCTGCCATCCATGTAACCTTCATGCTGCCATCCATGTCACCTTCATGCTGCCATCCAAGTCACCTTCATGCTGCCATCCATGTCACCTTCATTCTGCCATCCATGTCACCTTCATGCTGCCATCCATGTCACCTTCATGCTGCCATGCATGTCACCTTCATGCTGCCATCCACGTCACCTTCATGCTGCCATCCATGTCACCTTCATGCTGCCATCCAAGTCACCTTCATGCTGCCATCCATGTCACCTTCATGCTGCCATCCATGTCACCTTCATGCTGCCATCCATGTCACCTTCATGCTGCCATGCATGTCACCTTCATGCTGCCATCCATGTCACCTTCATGCTGCCATCCATGTAACCTTCATGCTGCCATCCATGTAACCTTCATGCTGCCATCCATGTCACCTTCATGCTGCCATCCAAGTCACCTTCATGCTGCCATCCATGTCACCTTCATTCTGCCATCCATGTCACCTTCATGCTGCCATCCATGTCACCTTCATGCTGCCATCCATGTCACCTTCATGCTGCCATCCATGTCACCTTCATGCTGCCATCCATGTCACCTTCATGCTGCCATCCATGGAGCGGGAGACGAGCAGGGAGGCATCGGAGCAGAAGGCGAGCCCCGTGATGTCGTCGCCCCTCTGATGCGCATCGGCACACAGCAGGTCCGGCAGCGACCCCCACCCTGTCCTCACATTCCACACCTGCCGCACATGGGAGGGTTCAGTGCGAGGAGCGGTGGAGGAGGACGGGCGGTTGTAAGGAGGGCTGTGCGCAGTGGGGCACAGCGAGAGGCAGCAGCAGCACACACACGTGTGAGCAAGACATGCCAAGCCGTGCATGCCCATACCTGCAGCGAGCCATCGTTGAGGCCAGCAGCCACCATGCGGCCATCGGGGCCCCACTCCGCTGCTGTCACCGCCACCCTCCCCGGCCGCGCCAGCTTCGGCTTCACCACCTGCCGGGAGGGGAAGGCACAGGAGCGAGGCGACCGAGAAGATCAGCTCTTCTCGAGCTGGGGGTCTCAAGCTGCCAAGCCTGCGGTTGGGGCAAATGGGGCGAAAGCAATCCCACACGCACACACACGGAGGAGGAAACTTGAGCGCACCTTGGTCTGCGACTTGAAGTCGCGCACGTCCCAGATGCGCAGCGAGCCATCATCGGACGCCGTGAGCGCCGAGTGGCGCTCGCAGGGGTGCCACTGCGCGGTGGTGAGCCCAGCGATGTGCCCCTTGGTGTTGCGCAGGTCGCGGATGTACATGTCGCCCCTCACGAACTCGCCCTTGCTGCGCCCGTCCCTGTCGTACACCTGCCCCCGCCACCACGCCACATTGTTGCAGGGCCAGGGGAGAGGGCGAGGGAGCGGGCAGCAGGGAGGTTGTGAGTAGCGGGGCGGGACGAAACGGTGATAGCAACCTAGCCCGGGGCCGTGCACATCCCGTCTCTGACCCACGTGAGCAGGCTTGTATGTTGGTGGCCGGGACTACATGGGCGAGAAGAGAATGGCACCAAGAGCATGATATCCTATTCGCCTTGGTCAGAGGCAAAATGTTATGAAGCATGAAATAGGGGAGAAGAGAGGGGGAATCACCTGCGATAAAAAATAAGTATCGAGACGTCTCAGAATATCTTCATCACCCTGTGGCATCATTCTTACAAAGGAAGAGCGCGCGTTGGCGTGTGTGAAGGAGGGAAGAGGGAGGGAGCGGCGCACCTTGGCCTGCGCGTTGCCGGTGGCGACAATGAAGAGGTCGGCCGACGGGCTGAAGGACACGGCGCGCACTTGGTGGCCGTCGCACGGCAGCACCTGGCGGAAGGAGTTGAGGGAGGAGTCCATGCCATGGAAGTCGTAGAAGCGCAGCGAGTAGTCGTAGCTGCCACTTATCACCCGCGTGCCCGTTGGGTCCACCGCCAGCGCTGCCACCGCCTGCCATGCCGGGGGGGCGAGAGGGGCAGGGGGACGGGGTGAGCTTGCTAGTCGTTCACGAGTGAGGCAAATGTAGGAATGGGTGGGGCAGCTGAGAAGGCACGGGGAACGCTTCGCCTTGCCATGTGTGACTGGCGCAGTTGCCGATGGCCTCTCAGGCTGCTACAGCCAGCGACCCCTGCTACAGCCAGCGACCCCTGCTACAGCCAGCGACCCCTGCTACAGCCAGCGACCCCTGCTACAGCCAGCGACCCCTGCTACAGCCAGCGACCCCTGCTACAGCCAGCGACCCCTGCTACAGCCAGCGACCCCTGCTACAGCCAGCGACCCCTGCTACAGCCAGCGACCCCTGCTACAGCCAGCGACCCCTGCTACAGCCAGCGACCCCTGCTACAGCCAGCGACCCCTGCTACAGCCAGCGACCCCTGCTACAGCCAGCGACCCCTGCTACAGCCAGCGACCCCTGCTACAGCCAGCGACCCCTGCTACAGCCAGCGACCCCTGCTACAGCCAGCGACCCCTGCTACAGCCAGCGACCCCTGCTACAGCCAGCGACCCCTGCTACAGCCAGCGACCCCTGCTACAGCCAGCGACCCCTGCTACAGCCAGCGACCCCTGCTACAGCCAGCGACCCCTGCTACAGCCAGCGACCCCTGCTACAGCCAGCGACCCCTGCTACAGCCAGCGACCCCTGCTACAGCCAAGCGACCCCTGCTACAGCCAGCGAGCCCTGCTACAGCCAGCGACCCCTGCTACAGCCAGCGACCCCTGCTACAGCCAGCGACCCCTGCTACAGCCAGCGACCCCTGCTACAGCCAGCGACCCCTGCTACAGCCAGCGACCCCTGCTACAGCCAGCGACCCCTGCTACAGCCAAGCGACCCCTGCTACAGCCAGCGAGCCCTGCTACAGCCAGCGACCCCTGCTACAGCCAGCGACCCCTGCTACAGCCAGCGACCCCTGCTACAGCCAGCGCACCCAGGGACCATCTCACCTTGGTGTGTCCCCCCAGCACAATCTCATTGCTCAGTGGCACTCCAAACTCGTCCTCCTCCTCCGCCTCTGCGCCCTCCTCCTCATCATCCTCCTCACTGCCATCGCTCCTCTGCTCATCCTGCCGCCCTGCTGCCCGGCCCTTCTTCCGCCCACCGGGCTGCTGTGTGCCGCGAGTAGCAGGGGCAGGCGGGCCAATCAACCCGCCACCACCGTCCTCCAGGGGGCCCGGGGGGCGCGGAGGGCCGATCACCGCATGCCCCTCGCCGTCGCCCCGCACCACCGCTGCTCCCCGCCCATCCGCTGGTCCTCCACCCCTGGCCGCTCTTGCCCCACCCCCGCCCCCGTTCGCCCTTCCCGCCTCCCCGTTTGCCCCACCAGCACCGCCACTAAGCGGATTACCACCAGCCTCCCTCGAGTTGTGTTCCCCCGCTACCTCTCCGCCCATACCCTCCGCTACTCTCACTGCCCCTCCCCCCTCCGCCACACCTCCAGCGCCCGCCACTCCCACCGCCGCTGCTCCCCCCAGCCCTGCCTTAGCCCCGTCGCCTAACCTCTTCGCCAGGCTCGACCCGATGCTGAACTTCATCCCCCCAGCCTTCTTCTTCCCCTTCACCCCGGCGCGCTCCGCGTGTGCGCGCGCCGTCTGCGCGTGCACGGCCTCCAGCGGCGTGACGCGCTCCTCCTGCCGGCCAAACGACGCGGGGAAGGCGGCGCGCACCCCCAGCAGCGTCTCCCCCTCGTCGTCGTCGTCCGCCAGCGCGGCGGCGGAGGGAGGCGGGCGGAAGGGCGGGCTGTCAGGAGGACTGTCTGCGTCACAGCTGACGTCATCCATGGGAGTATCCCGGAAGTGAATGTGGGGGGGTCGTGGTGTTGCGAACGAGCGTTGGGCTTCCGGTATTTCCAGCAAGTGCGGGCTGTTGGCGTGTGAGATGGGTTAGTGGAAAAGCAAGTCGGGTGCCGTCAGCACGCGATAGCTTGCGTACTTGATTAGCTTACTCAAGCAGCAGAAACGAGGATGACAGGATTGAGTCGTCCCCTGAGATGTATAAGGACTTAGTTAGGAGGTGCTGTGCTTCATGGTTTTGAATGAGATGAGGGTGGTAACTGAATCGCAATGTATGGAGGAAAAGGTTCACATGAAAATTTTTCTGTCAAAATTTGCTTCACTGTTCGCCCAACATCTGTGCGGGTTGAACTAGTCACGATTTACTCTTCGCTTGCTGTCGTCACCCCTCGAATGCTCGGTGTGAAAACCGGGTTTCAGAATCGACCTTTCTCGCTCGATTCGCACGCCTGTTCAAATCTCTCGTCGTCTGTTCAAGGCTTGGCCCATCACGAGAAACGAAACCGACATGACCCGAACCCGAAAGCATGCGCACGGAACAGGCCTGCATTGGTTGAACATTTTAGTCTCAGCTAACAAGGGTCTTGTCCGCATTACCCGCATTTTAGTCTCTTACCTTTCAGGCCTTTGAGCTGAGGAGCGTGTAAATCTTGAGCAAGCAATATTTTTTTCCTCCCTTACGCTTCCTTGGCGTCAGGCCAACCGTTCCAGTGTAGCGTCCACCACAGCATCGAGCGAGCAGAGCTAGCTCACGATCGATGGGCATCCCTCGCCGGGCGCGTTTTCGCAGCAGCGGCGCCACGTCCACAAGTGCTTAGGTCCGCCGGCAGTACGGTGGCAGCCGCACACGCGCGTAACAAGCCGGAGATCGAGCAGCAGGCAGAGCGAATTCGTGGCGAGTAGGAAGAGACGGGGAGGCAAAGGCCGAGGCAGTCCGCATTGAGATAGCGGGGTCCGGCGGGCCGCATCGCCGTAGTTGCCGTCACCATCATCATCATCCTCATCATCCTCAGCATCCTCAGCCCCATCATCGTCCGTGAGCGTGGTGCGCGAGCATGGCGGCGGGCGCGCCCCCGGTGTTCAACCTGTTCATCATCAACAAGTCGGGCGGCCTCATCTACTACAAGGTGCAGTGCACGCCGCTACCCGCTGCTACTGCCTCCAACTCCACCTGCACGCCTTACCGGCTGCGCGCCACTTGCACGGCAGCACCTTGCACTTGCCGCCAACCCCTCTTTCATCCCCGCACCTTCCTCTTCCCCACTCCCAACCCTCCCCCCTCCACGCGACGCCACTACAGCTGCCGTGACGCCCGTGCCTCATTCCACTACAGCTTCCGTGACGCCCGTGCCTCATTCCACGACCCACTCGCCTACCCTGTACCTGCTCTGCTCTGCAACCCCTCCTCTACCCTCCTTTCCCCTCAACTCCCCCTCCCAATCTTCCCCTCGCGTAATCCTTCCCCCAGTTACGCACCACCTGCGGCCCGCCGAATGAACCCAATGTCAAAATCTCAAGCCTCGGAGCAGCACACCAGCAGTGTCTCTACTGCTAGTTACTCTCATTCCAATGTCCCAATGTTATCCCCCCCTCGTCCCCCCCCCTGTGGCAGGACTTTGGGTCGCAGAACCGGCTGGACACGAACGACTCGCTGCGCCTGGCGTCCACGTGGCACGGGCTGCACGCCATCGCCATGCAGGTGACACGCTGGGCGGGGCTGTGAGCGGCTGTGAGCGGCTGTGAGCGGCTGTGAGTGGCTGTGTGCTTCTATGCACCCCTGATGCATGCCTCCATGCCATGCCCATTGTAACTCTTGATACCCAAATAAAACACTGGAGTCGTATCCATTGCATCGCACCGACAGCATGTGCGCTGGCATGGTAGTCGAACCCACGACTACGTCCGCCCCTCGTGTCATGGGCCCCCATGAGCAGCTGTCGCCCATCCCCAACGGTGGCGGCATTGAGATGCTGGAGGCGGGCACCTTCGACCTTCACTGCTTCCAGACTCTCACCGGTGCGCCCACCTCTCTTCCCTTCCCCACATCGCTGTTCTCATCCCATCACCCATGCTCCCCAGCCACCATGGTTGTGTGATGTCCTTTCCCAAGTTACTACCGTCAATCTAGACCGGACTATACTAGACTAGACTCTAGCCCTTAGTAGTCAGCCATTAGCGAGCACTACCTTGGATTGCTTTGTGGTTTGCGCCTTCGATCAGCAGCGGGCGTCAAACGGCCGCACGAAGTTGTTAGCAGGTTCTCAGTATGGTATGGGCGAGGAACGGGGAAGAAAACTTTTCTCACAAGATTTTTCACACACAAATGTATTTGTATTTTACGCAACATAGGCCTCAGGGCATGCCTCCATATCTCCTTTCTCCGCCACCCTGTGCAACCCATGCATCCCACGTATCTCCTCCCCCTTCCCCTCTCTATCTCTCTTACCCCACGTATCCCGTGTTCCCTCCCCCCCCCCCCCCCAGGCACCAAGTTCTTCATAGCCACGGAGGTGGGCTTCACGGGGGCGCCCACGCTACTCGCAATCATCTACGACCTCTACACCGACTATGTGCTCAAAAACCCCTTCTATGAGGTGCCCCTCTACACCGACTATGTGCTCAAAAACCCCTTCTATGAGGTGCCCCACTACACCGACTATGTGCTCAAAAACCCCTTCTATGAGGTGCCCCTCTACACCGACTATGTGCTCAAAAACCCCTTCTATGAGGTGCCCCTCTACACCGACTATGTGCTCAAAAACCCCTTCTATGAGGTGCCCCTCTACACCGACTATGTGCTCAAAAACCCCTTCTATGAGGTGCCCCTCTACACCGACTATGTGCTCAAAAACCCCTTCTATGAGGTGCCCCTCTACACCGACTATGTGCTCAAAAACCCCTTCTATGAGGTGCCCCTCTACACCGACTATGGTCTCAAAAACCCCTTCTATGAGGTGCCCCTCTACACCGACTATGTGCTAAAAAACCCCTGCTACACTGCAATTAGACGTGGTTTCATGCATCTGATGTAGTATAATGCATTTGATGTAGTGTCATGCATTTGATGTATTGTCATGCATTTGATGTAGTGTCATGCATTTGATGTAGTGTCATGCATTTGATGTAGTGTCATGCATTTGATGTAGTGTCATGCATTTGATGTAGTGTCATGCATTTGATGTAGTGTCAACCCCCCCCCCCCCCCCCCCCCCCCGCCACGCCATGCACACCAGGTGGAGATGCCCATCCGCTGCGACCTCTTTGACCTGCACCTGCCCGCTGCCATCCGCAAAGACCGCTCTCTACTCGCCGCTGGGGTCGTCGTGCCGGGCCGATCATAGTGCACGCACACAAGTTGGGCCCAAAGTGGCTCTTGTAGACTAAGTAGTACGGTAAGCACCACCATGCGAGCCATGTGGATTGGGGCCTGTGAGCAGGCTGACGTCTAAAACGATGATAAGCACTTGGAGGGGAAGTAAATGGGAAAACTGATGGCACTTCATCTTTGTTAGACCAATTGGAGGTACTGGTATTACCTTACTCCCAACCGTCGTTTTAGGCTTATTACATAGCCAACATGTGCTATTTCCCGGCAGGTCGACGAAATCGAGGGTTGTGAATGCTGCTTTTCTAACCATCGGGGCTTTAGAGCAGAACCTCGCTTCGTGTAAAGGGTTAGTGGAATTGTGGCCTGTGTTTGTTCCGTCACCAATAACATGAAATAATTGTTTTGCTTCACCTCACACCAAATGAGGTGTAGATATCACAAACACCACATTCGCCCACATTCGCCCACAAACGGCTGGGCCAAAATCGCTGATCACCTCGGCCCAATGCCCCGAGGGAACGCACAAGTCGCCGCGTCCACAGCTCGACGTGCAAGCCACGTCCGTGCTCGCATCCTCCACCCACCCACCCTCTCCGCTCGTCCTCTCCACCCATGCTGCGCGCGACGCTCCCCCCTCGCTGGCTGCACTGCGCGCCAATTCTCTCGGCGTCCCGCCACTCGCTGTGCTCGCGCGTCACGCGCTGCCCTCTCAGCATTGCGTTCCCTCGCCTCGATCGTCCCGCGCTCCAAGCTTCACCTCGCCGGACTGTCATGGATGACGCGGCGCCTCGAAACGACCAGCACGCTACCGCCGCGGACGTGTCGCGACAGGACGAAAGCACGGTTACCAGACTGGACGAGAGTGTGGTTACCAAACACGCCGTTGCGAGCGGGGAGCAACGGCGCGTGGTATTCGAGATTCGCGCGACGGACGGCGAGGCCCGCTTAGGATTCATCCGCGCGACGCGCGTTGGCGAGGCGGGGAGAGGAGGGGATGAGAAGGCAGGCATGCAGGGCGCTGAGGAGGGGCCAGGAGTGCAGAGCGGTGGTGAGTGGTTCGAAGTGGCGACACCCGGCCTGCTGGCGTACACGCGGCGGGGACTGCCGGTGCATCTGACGCCGGACGTGGCTCAGTCGCTGGGGTTCGCCGGGTGGACCGCATGCTCCACCCACTTGTGAGTGCACCACCCTGCTACCCTGCCGCCCTGCCGCACCTGCCGCCCTGCATGCACGCACCACAGCGTGCCTGTGGCGTGGCAGCGCGCATTGCTCACATGGCGCCACCACGTGTGCTCCAGTCGCCGGCTCCAACACCCCGGGGGGCTTACTCTCCTTCCCACCCTCCCCCTCCCCCCTCCTCCTCCCCCTCCCGCTCCCCCTCGAATGGTCCTCCTGCTACCCTCTCCTCCCCCTCCCTCTGCCTCCCCCTTCCCGTCCCCCTCCCCTTTCCCCTCGCCTTCCCCCCTCCCCTCCCCGTGCAGTCTCGGCAGCCCCGCCCACCAGACCGTTGCCGCCCACAGCCGTGCACGCGCCCCCACCCCCACCGCCGCCGGGCTGCACGGCTTCCTGGCGCTGCCGCCCGCCACGCTCATGCTCGCCTCGCCACGCGACGCGCTGCTCTTCCCGGGCGGCCAGCAGGGCAGCAAGGCCTCGGCACGGCCTGCCACGTGGTTTGACACGCCCAGCGGCCGCCGGCAGGTGGGGCGGCGGTGGATGGGAGGGCAGGCAGGCGGGGCGGCGGTGGATGGGAGGGCAGGCAGGCGGGGCCGCAGTGGCAGGCAGGGGAGTTGAGGGGACTGGTGGTGGCGATGTGCAGTGGTCACACCCCCCTGGGTGCATCTTCCCTGCTCGCTCCCACCCACCTTCACTACCCCACTCACCCTTGCACGCACCACCTCTGACCCTACCTGCCACTCATGCTTCCACCCTCCTTTGCCTGCACGCATCACCACTGGCGCCCCACATCACCACTGGCGCCCCACATCACCACTGGCGCCCCACATCACCACTGGCGCCCCACATCACAACCATGCCCGCCATGAGCGCCCCACATCACAACCATGCCCGCCACCCTGTGCTGCCCTCCTCACACACGCAGGTCACTCCAGAAGACCACAGTGCCATCGTGGCATCTCTGCTGCCACATGTCGCCATCCCATTGCACGATGCACCGCCCGCCACGTCATCACTGAATCGTCACCGAGTGGCTGTGCAGCGATCGCTGACGTGGCTGGATGAGGAGCTGCGATTGGCTGAAGAAAGAGGGGGAACGAAAACAGTGAGTGGGAATGCGAAGCCAGCAGCACAGCGCATGGATGCCACGCTGTGCCACTTCATCTCAGTTGCAGCGCTGTATCACAGCAGTGCCAGCCCCTTTTGGTATGGTGTGGTGCCGTGTGGTGTGGTGTGGTGTGGTGCGGTGCGGTGCGGTGCGGTGCTGTGTGCAGGCGCTGCTAGGAGCGGTGGTGGGGGGCCCGTTTGAGGAGGAGAGGAGGCGGTCGGCCCGCGAGACTGCTGCGAGGACAGGCCTGGCAGGTGGGGTGGGGGGATGGCACGTGGGGTGGGGGGATGGCACGTGGGGTGGGGGGATGGCACGTGGGGTGGGGGGATGGCACGTGGGGTGGGGGGATGGCACGTGGGGTGGGGGGATGGCACGTGGGGTGGGGGGATGGCACGTGGGGTGGGGGAATGGCACGTGGGGTGGGGGGATGGCACGTGGGGTGGGGGGAAGGCACGTGGGGTGGGGGGATGGCACGTGGGGTGGGGGGATGGCACGTGGGGTGGGGGGATGGCACGTGGGTGGGGGGATGGCACGTGGGGTGGGGGGATGGCACGTGGGGTGGGGGGATGGCACGTGGGGTGGGGGGATGGCACGTGGGGTGGGGGGATGGCACGTGGGGTGGGGGGATGGCACGTGGGGTGGGGGGATGGCACGTGGGGTGAGGGGATGGCACGTGGGGTGGGGGGATGGCACGTGGGGTGGGGGGATGGCACGTGGGGTGGGGGGATGGCACGTGGGGTGGGGGGGTGGCACGTGGGGTGGGGGGATGGCACGTAAGGTGAGGGGATGGCACGTGGGGTGAGGGGATGGCACGTGGGGTGAGGGGATGGCACGTGGGGTGAGGGGATGGCACGTGGGGTGAGGGAATGGCACGTGGGGTGAGGGGATGGCAGGTGGGTGAGCAGTAGGTGCAAGCAATGAGAAGGCCACGAGAATCCACCTGTCCACCCGTGCATGCTCATAGATGACGCCCTCCTCTCATACATGACGCCCTCCTCTCACTCCCGTCTCACCCCTCACCATCTCCCCCGCACCCATGCGCCCCTGAGTCCTCCTTTTGCTCTCACTCTCCCCGTGCGGTGCCTTGCCGTGTGGGCCCCGTGTGCCCGCCGTGCAGGGTACCACGTGGCGGGGCTGGGCCTGGGGGAGGCACTGCCGCACAGGGACGCGCTGCTCGCCGCTGCTCTCGTCAGTGCTGCTCCTCCTGCCCTCCCCTCTCCCCTCCGCTCCCATCTCTCCCTCTCTTCCCCCTCCCTCCCTCCCTCCCTCCCTCCTTCCATCCGATCCTTCAATACTACTTTTTTCTTCATCCAATTGAATCCAACTAGTTGCCTTTTTCTCGTCATTTATGTACATCCATCCATCCATCCATCCATCCATCCATCCATCCATCCATCCATCCATCCATCCATCCATCCATCCATCCATCCATCCATCCATCCATCCATCCATCCATCCATCCATCCATCCATCCATCCATCCATCCATCCATCCATCCATCCATCCATCCATCCATCCATCCATCCATCCATCCATCCATCCATCCATCCATCCATCCATCCATCCATCCATCCATCCATCCATCCATCCATCCATCCATCCATCCATCCATCCATCCATCCATCCATCCATCCATCCATCCATCCATCCATCCATCCATCCATCCATCCATCCATCCATCCATCCATCCATCCATCCATCCATCCATCCATCCATCCATCCATCCATCCATCCATCCATCCATCCATCCATCCATCCATCCATCCATCCATCCATCCATCCATCCATCCATCCATCCATCCATCCATCCATCCATCCATCCATCCATCCATCCATCCATCCATCGAACCATGTTTCTCGTTGTCCCCCGCTCTCTGCTCCCACCATCCCACCATCCCACCACCCTCTCTCCCCTCCTGCTCCTCCTGTGCCTCCTCACCCCCTGGCAGTCGGAGCTTCCACCCGAGGCAATGAGACACACGGCAGGGCTCAACACACCAGGTACATTCAATGAGACACACGGCAGGGCTCAACACACCAGGTACATTCAATGAGACACACGGCAGGGCTCAACACACCAGGTACATTCAATGAGACACACGGCAGGGCTCAACACACCAGGTACATTCAATGAGACACACGGCAGGGCTCAACACACCAGGTACATTCAATGAGACACACGGCAGGGCTCAACACACCAGGTACATTCAATGAGACACACGGCAGGGCTCAACACACCAGGTACATTCAATGAGACACACGGCAGGGCTCAACACACCAGGTACATTCAATGAGACACACGGCAGGGCTCAACACACCAGGTACATTCAATGAGACACACGGCAGGGCTCAACACACCAGGTACATTCAATGAGACACACGGCAGGGCTCAACACACCAGGTACATTCAATGAGACACACGGCAGGGCTCAACACACCAGGTACATTCAATGAGACACACGGCAGGGCTCAACACACCAGGTACATTCAATGAGACACACGGCAGGGCTCAACACACCAGGTACATTCAATGAGACACACGGCAGGGCTCAACACACCAGGTACATTCAATGGAACGACCAGGTAAGGTGAGCAGGCGAGGCAGAGTCAAGAGTGCAAGAACAAATGGTGCTCCACTTGGAATGCTCCTCATGCTCTCCTCGTGCCCCACCATGCCATGCACCGTGTCTTGCCCCACACGGGACACTCACCTCGTTCACTCCAACCACCCCTCTCCACCGTGTGATCCCCCTCCCCCTCCCACTCGCCTGGCATGGCGGCGAGCAGAGGAGGTGGTGCACGCGGTGGGCAGGGGCGTCGACCTCTTTGACTGCACGTCAGTACCCTCCCGCCCTGCCATGCATGCACGCCCGCCATGCACCCTCTTCAACCCTTGCTTCCCGCACACATCTGTCCTGTCCGTTTCTGCATGCGCCATGCACTGCCCTGCGCCATGCACTGCCCTGCGCCATGCACTGCCCTGCACTATCCGTGCCATGCCGTCTCTCAAAGAACACCCGTGTCCCCCCCGTGCAGGTACCCCCACGACCTCACCCTCCTCGGCCTCGCCTCCACGCTGCCTCTCCACCCGCCCTGGTGGCCGCACACCGTGCCGCAGGGGGAGGGGGAGGGGGAGGGGGAGGGGGAGGGAGAGGGAGAGGGGAAAGAGGAGCGGGATGGTGGGGCAGTGGAGGCGGATGGGATGGTAAGGGAAGTGGGAGAGGAGAGGGAGGGGGAGGAGGCGTACGGGTCCAAGATGAACCTGCGGTGCTCATGGCACAAGTGAGTGCCATTATCACAGCATTGTGACTTACACCAGATTCTTCTATTCTTCCGTGCCCTCACTTGTTGTCTTCTCCCACCCGCTCTCCCTCAATCTCCTTCACTGCTTGTCCCCCTTGGTCCACCACCCCCCCCGTGGGCTTTACCAGGCGCAGTTTCATCCCCATATCGTGCACGTGCGCGTGCTACACATGCACCCGCCACACACGTGCCTACCTGCACCACCTGCTGGACGCCCATGAGATGCTTGCGCTCGTGCTGCTGGACATGTGAGTGGCTGTGCTGCTGGACATGTGAGTGGCTGTGCTGCTGGACATGTGAGTGGCTGTGCTGCTGGACATGTGAGTGGCTGTGCTGCTGGACATGTGAGTGGCTGTGCTGCTGGACATGTGAGTGGCTGTGCTGCTGGACATGTGAGTGGCTGTGCTGCTGGACATGTGAGTGGCTGTGCTGCTGGACATGTGAGTGGCTGTGCTGCTGGACATGTGAGTGGCTCTGCTGCTGGACATGTGAGTGGCTGTGCTGCTGGACATGTGAGTGGCTGTGCTGCTGGACATGTGAGTGGCTGTGCTGCTGGACATGTGAGTGGCTGTGCTGCTGGACATGTGAGTGGCTGTGCTGCTGGACATGTGAGTGCCTGTGCTGCTGGACATGTGAGTGCCTGTGCTGCTGGACATGTGAGTGCCTGTGCTGCTGCTGGTGTGGTTCGCTGGGCTGCTCTGTCGCAAGCCGACCAGCTGCCACCGTGTTGGGCACGCCGCTTTGCTGGGCACGAGTGTGGGGTGTGCCGTGTGGGGTGTGCCGCGTGGAAGTGAAGTAGCGCTGCATGGAGTGCTCATGAATGCGGGAGTGTGTCACCAGAATGGCCACTGGACGTCCCTGTTCCCACCAACTTGTGCTCTCCTGCTTCTCATCGCGCCACGCACACTCACCAAACACGCCCTGCTGCCACCTCGGCTTGCTCTCATGCCTGGCGGTGGAGATCCTGCAGCGTTGACCCCATGCACGGCTGATGCAGACGCGGGTTATTGTCCTCACCATACAGTCTACTCAGTGCATGCTGCTCTGCTGTGCGTTTCGCTAACTGTGCTCTTGTTCTTTTGCCTCCTCTTACCCAATGTAACTCCCTTCAGCCACAACCACCATCACATGCTTCAGTTCTTTCAAGTTATTCGGCAGGCCATCAGGTTGGGTGTGTTTCAACGGTACAGGGAGTGGTTCGTCCAAGCTAGAAAGGAGGAGTCAGAGTCAGTATCGCTACAACAGCAAGTGCAGAATGCGGCTTAGGGGCATGTAACATGCGGCCTGGATTCGCCAGCAAGTTAGTACCGGTGAGGTGGGCCTCAGGGTTGTCATGTCGTAAGCAGCAGGCTCAATTACCGTGATTGTTCTACCTACGGTAAACAAAGAATTGATGTCTTGAGGGAAGACTTGCGGGCCACCTTCCAACATCCAATGGGGCTCGCTCCTGTTGAGCAACACTTGTTACAAACTCCCTTACAGGTCACAGGACTGCCTCAGGCAGACATGACTTCGGGTGCTGTTTCAAAAAGGCTCCCTCTTCTTCACCTAATACTGTACCAGTTTGAAGAGCTGATTTAACTGATGCACAAGTTGTGGCAGCTTATAAAGAGAATGACGCCTACTAAAGAACCAATAACCAAGCAAGCTTTCAGTGAGACTGAACAAGGGGCAGGAAAAGAACCTACCGGTACCAATTATTACCGTCATCGCCCGGATAAAAGACATATATGTCTTATCTTATACACTAGAAAAAATGATTGGGTTGTCTTGTATTTGGGACGGTTTAGGGTGTCTTATAATTCTTATAAATTGACAGAATTTATATGAACTCTGTAACATTTACAAAGTGTGTCGAAACCGCCCAAGGGGCAGATTCATTGAATTCGGCCGACCTTGGTGGTGAATCGTGATGCATGCATCGCCACCACATGCCACGTGAGGGATGCAGCAAAGCTGCCTGTGCTCGCAACATCCCTCCCTGCTGGCAGCATCTAATGATGCTTCCAGTGTTGTTTCGCTGCCAGCAGCGCAAAGATGCTTCCAGAACGCTGCTGGCAACACGATGGCAGCGTGAGAGCTGTCATGTGCTGTCCTCTACGAGGACATTCCTCGTAGAGGAGCGGCTCGGCGGCCTCTGGAGGGGGCACTCTGGCTGGGGGGGTAGTCGGGCTGGAGGTTCATTTTGTGCTCATGGAGGTTGAGATTAGCTCAACCATTGCTCTCGACTGGCTGCACCATGCGTAGCAAAGTCCCTGTAGGCGCGGCGTCCCCTCGCCCTCACGTGCACGTTAACAACTATGGGCGCATCAACTCGCCCGGTGACTACATACGTGTAGGCATGGCGAAAGAGACGCGCAAGACGGCATCCATGGCGGGATGCTCTAACGCTGGCTCAGGTGCGAGCTGTGATGAGGACGAAGGCGACGAAGACCATGGCGACGAGGGCGAGGAGGATTGGCCGGAGAACGGGCACGACGACAGTGCATTGGGTGAGGACGTACCTGCTGGCGGCATCGACGATGACGAATAGTGGAATCGGCCGATTGGCTCCGGCGACGAAGTTGAAGGGTGTCGCGCCGGTGACTCGTGTTAGAATTAAGGACGAAGTCTAGGTCGTTTAGGGGGGGGGGGGGGGGGGGGGAATAACTCAAAATCGTCAACCTAGTTTCTGGACAGAAAAGTCGTCGTCACAAGAAACGCCGTCGACGAAAAACGCACCGTTATATCAGAATTGTGAAGGAAAAAATAATTGAATTAGCAAGCAGGTGGGTACAAGTAGGAAAACCTAAAAGTGTTGTACCCCATATTGACTACCCCACTACAGCCTACACAGACTATGTCATATAAGTTTGACACACCCCCATAGGCAAAGTGGGGGAGAACAAGAGGTCACAAGACCAGTCAAGAAAAGCAAAGCAAGCTCAGGGTGGATCACGACGTCACCACGCATTCTGAGCACAATCAAATGGCCACAAGGCCAGTTCACATGCAGAGTTATATAAATGAGAACAAGCAGTACAGTGATCACAACCTAGCAAGTATAAGCATGCAGGTATATGTATAGAGATCACAGTACAAGCAAAGTCAAGAAGTGAGCAAGTGAGGCCAAGTAGGCACAAGGCCTAGAACAGTACAGGAACGCTGATGATCACAAGACTAGAGTGTGAGAATTAGAACAAGGAAATGACTAGAAACAGGACAGTACATGGTTTGTATAGGCAAAACCTAACAGGACTATACCCCATAAGGAGTGCCCCACTACAGCCTACAATATAGTTCTGACACACCCCCATAGGCAAAGTGGGGGACAAGCAAGAGAACGAAGCAAGGTCAAGCTCAGGGTGGATCACAACGTCACCACGCAGTCCGAGCACAAGCAAATGGCCACAAGGCCTGTCCACATGCAGAGTTATATAAAAGAGAGCAAACAGTACAGTGATCACAACCTAGCAAGAGTAAGCATGCAGGTATATGTATATAGATCACAGTACAAGCAAAGTCAAGAGGTGAGCAAGTGAGGCCAGGTAGGCACAAGACCTAACATAGTGCAAAAACGCGGATGATCACAAGGCTGAAGTGCCTTGGTAAAGATATCAGCAATGTTGGCCCGAGTGGCCACGTAAGCAAGACGAAGCTGACCACGCTGCTGCAACTCTCGAGAAAAGAAGTAGCGCAGAGCAATGTGCTTCGTTCTGTGCTCCAGTCTGTGCTCCTAACACAAGGCAAGCATGGCCTTGTTGTCGACGTACAGAACTGGAGGAGAACGAGGCGCTTCTCCCAAGTCGGACAGCAGGTAGGTGAGCCAGCGTAACTCCTGTGCAGCCATGGCCCCAGCGTAGATCTCAGCCTCACAACTGGAGCTGAGAACAGAAGACGAGCGGGTAGACCGCCACGAAAGAGAGCCGGAGCCAAGGCTGAAGGTGTAACCCTGTGACGATCGCTGCGTAGCCAAGTCGTCAACCCAAGAAGCGTCTGCGTGACCAGTGAGGACAACTGGAGCCCGTCCTCCAAGCACGAGCCCCATGCCCGACGTACTGCACAGGTAGCGCAACACCCTCTTAGCTGCATCCATGTGCTCTGGTCGGTGTCTCCCAGGAGCAACATAGCGTGCCAGGATGCTAAGAGGGTATGCCAGGTCAGGTCGAGTGCAGGTCATCAGGTACATGAGGCAGCCCACAAGCTCTGGGTACGGGCCACTCGGCTCTACGGACTCATCCGAAGGCAGAGCTGAGAGCGAGTGACGAGTAGACAGAGGAGTGGCCTGAGGCGAGGAGTACGTGAAGTTGAAGCGCTGAAGGACCTGCTGCACCATGTGTGACTGAGTCAAGGTAATGGTGCGCCGTGCTCTGTCCCGGGTGATCTGCAAGCCAAGATAGCTGCGCAGCTCACCCAGGTCTGTGCACGTGTGTCTCTTCTGCAGCTCCGACTTCACAAAGGCCAGTCCAGCAGTGTCAGCAGTAGCAAAGACCAAGTCGTCGACGTACACGAGGATGTAGAACGGCGGCAGAGTAGTGTTGGTGCGGAGAAACAGCGACGGGTCAGCAGTGGAAGGAGCAAACCCAAGAGCCGCAAGCGTAGTCCTCAGTGTGTCGTGCCACTCACGGGGCGCCTGGCGGAGACCGTAGACTGGCCGCCGGAGGCTCCACTGGGTACCAGGAGGAAACGACCCAGTGAAGCCAGGTGGGCGGCGCAGCCAGATCTCCTCGTGTAGGCTGCCCTGTAGGAAGGCTGTGCTGAAGTCAAGAGAGTGAAGCTCGGAGTCACGCTGAGCGGCGACGTGCAGCAGCACCCGAAGAGTGGTCATCTTCGGGGTGGGAGAGAAGGTCTGAAAGTAGTCAACTCCCTGCCGCTGACTGAAGCCTCGAGCCACGTAGCGCGCCTTGAAGACAGGCGGAGAACCCGGCGGCCGCTTCACCCTGAAAATCCACATGCCATCGACAATGTTCGCCCCAGGTGGGGGAACCTCGTCGACGTAGATGCTTGTGGACTTCCAGGAAGCCATCTCTGCGTCCATGGCTGTCTGCCACTGAGAGGAGTAGGGACCCTCTATCGCCTCTGCGTAAGAGCGCGGGGTCGGGATGTCTGGTGCATCCGGGTCTCCCTCAGGGGCAAGCAGCATAGACACGAGATGAGGTAAAGCAGCAGCAAAACACTGGAACTCCTCCTGCCTGTCCTCAAGGACGTCCGTGCTAAGAGCACACTCACCCCCGACGGACGGAGGACAGAAAGACTCAGACTCAGCAACAAGGCTAGCAGCGTAGTCTAGACGACAGTGAGCAGCAAAGTCGACAAGCTCAGAAACTAAGGCAGACGCAGCAGTGGACTCAAAGGAAGGGTCAGTGACAACAGTGGCCAGGAGACGCGTGACAGTAGGACTAGCGGCACGAAGGGAGTCAGACTCCGGGTCAGCAAGGGCAGGAAGAGAGGACGCAGGAGGAGACGGCAGAGGGACACGCTGCGGAGCAGTGGAAGGACGCAGAGCCATCTGGTGCGTGCCAGGGACAGGAGGAGGACGCTGACGCGAACCACGACGACTAGTGCGAGCATCACGAACAGGCGACGCAGGACGAGACTCAGGCTCACGACGCTCCGTAAGACCTCCGGTCGGACCAGTGTAAGGAGAAGGAGCAGGCAGTGGGGAGGCGGGCTGTAACTGTGACTGCGACTGGACAGTCGGTGGACACCCTAAGGAAGGAGCAGGACCAGTAGAAGACGAGAGACCAAGAACCTGCTCAAGGAGCGGAACGAAGTACGGCCGCGGCCGCGCAGCAGCTTCAGAAACAGCAGGGAG